GTGCTCTCCAAGGGCACCTCCGCAGGAGCCCGCCTCCTCTCTGCAATGCCTGCGGGCGCCTTCCGCATCTAGAGCAGCTGCTAAACGGCTGGGCGCGGCAGCCGGATCGCCTGCGCGCTTCAAGCAGTGGCGAAGCGTCACGGCTCGCCTTTAGGCCCACCCAAGACTGTTCGAAGAACCTTCTGTGGTCTGTACGAAATGTTCCTAGAGCATTTCTGGCTGAGATTGTCTTGTTTTAACACATCGGGTTTGTGTTCGAAGAGCACTGTGTCTGTTATTTGCCCATTTCTGGGTTCTAAGAGCATTCCGTGGTAGGACTGGGAATGCCGGGACGGTCGGTCCCTGCTCAGGTGTTCCAGTCAAGACGCTGAGATAAGGACCACTTTTGGCTCGGGAGGGGCTCTGGTTTTCGGCCGTCCTGGCCTGCTCGTGGCCGAGGCTCGCCGCAGCCAGGAAACCCCTTCGTTCCTTTCTCAGCGCTCCTGTCAGCGCTCAGTTCCACCCGAGCCTCTCCGCCTGTGACCCGAGCCCCTCCGCCTCCTCGTTCCTCCCCAGGCCTCCCGCGGGGGTGAGGACGCTGTCGTAGGTTCATGGATGCATTCTCGCTTCGGGGTGCTCTCCGGCAGCTGTGACTCGTCGAGGGCGTTCCCGTCTGTCCGGACCGTCCCGAACGGCCGCCGGAGGCCCGAGCTTTGATCCGAAAACGATTAGCAGAGGAGGGGTAGGCAGAGGAGCCCATGTTTTCCTCTGGCTCTGCTGCATCGAGCTGTTAGTGCGCAGCGGTATACTGGCACATGCACGCACGGACCGAGTGGAGACCTTGTCCCGCCTTCTTTTGATTACTTCCTCCTCTCCTTCTCCCCCCTGCCCTTCCGTCCATTCTTTCCGTGGTGCACGCTCTGCGTGTGTGTGTGTGTGTGTGTGTGTGGTGTGTGTGTGTGTGCGTGTGTGGGGGGGGGGCGTGCGTGCGTGCGTGCGTGCGTGCGTGCGTGCGTGCGTGCGTGCGTGCGTGCGTGCGTGCGTGCGTGCGTGTGTGTGTGTGTGTGTGTCTCCCGCGGCTGCCTTGCCTCCCCGTTCTCCCCTCGTGCACGCTGGCCAATTCGCTGTACGGCACCCCCGTCTAGCTCCTCGCTGGTGCAGCCAACTCTGCCTCGCCGCCGACGGAAAAAGTGTGTGTGTGTGTGTGCCTGTGTGTGTGTGTGTGTGTGTGTTCTGCTAGCGGCTTTGAACTTCTACCCTGCCATGGAAGCCACCAGGTGGCCCTGCCTGTGTGTCAAGCCTCTTTCGCGAGCCTGCCCGTGTGTCACGCTGTTTCGAGCGCGGGCGGCCAGCGCAATCCGGTGCAAAGTTGGCTTCTTGTTCGGTGGAGCCGTGGCACGCAGTCGGCGACGCTGCGCACACGCACGGAGGTGCCAGCCTTGGCAGCTCGACTCGTGCCCACCACGACCGCTGCCGCTTGCGTTCCTGTCTTCGTGCTCCCGTGCCGGCCAGACGGAGCTGGCGTGGGCTCCGTCCTCGCGGAGGTCTGGATAACTCCCCCTGACGGAGTACGATCTGAAGACATTCGGGACGCGCCGCCGCTCTTCGTTGACCGATGCTGAGTGGCGAATGCTATCTTTGTGTGGCGCCCCATGCTACCATCCGCAAGATGTGTGCAGTGCATGCGCTCTCGACGGCGTCGGGTCCTGATGGAGGACGGATGGGTGTAGCCAGCAGGTCCGAAAGAAGAGGGCCATGGCACCTTGGGTAGGATAGCGGTACAAGTTGGCGCGCAGACCCAGAGATCCGATGTCGTGATTTTTTCAAAACTGGGTTCCTGGAAATCTCGACCCATTCCTCGGACCAGTTTTTCATCCCGAGTCGTTTTTTGACGGTCCTGGGGCCCAGTGAGGGCCCCTGGAGGCCGAATACTGCGAAAAATGTCCGTCTTGATGTTTGTCCAACTTTGGATCTCTCGTGGAAGAGCTCGCGGGGTCTCATTCCCCGTCGGCAGCGGACTGGAGCAGGGAGCGAGGGAGGGCGGGAGGGAGGGAGGGGCTGCGCCGGCGCCGCATTCCACCGTCCCCCCTGAAATCTTTGGGACTTCTGATGCGCCCCGGCAGGCGGCCTTTGAGGAAGATGAAGGGATCGGGGGAGCAGGATATAGGAGGAGCAGGAGGATGAGGAGGAGTAGGAGGCGGATTATGATGATGGGGGCAGAGAAGTAGATGGGTCGAGATGAGGAGAAGAAGGAGGACGAAGATGACGAGTACGTCGAGTATGATAAGAAACATGATGTTGATGATGATGGCGCCGATGTTGATGCTGATGAGGATGATGAGGATGAGGAATACGATGATTATCATGATGGTAACGATGATACTGGCGATGATGTTGCTGATGATGATGATACTGAAACTGATACTGATACGGATACTGATACTGATACTTATACTGATGATGATGGTGATGATGATGCTGATGGCGATGATGTTCTTGATGAGGATGATGATGCTGATTATGGTGCTGATGGTGGTGGGGCTGATGCTGCTGCTGATGATGATTGTGATTGTGATGGTGATTGTGATGCTGATGGTGGTGCTGGTGGTGGTAGTGGTGGGGATGATGATGACGATGATGATGAGGAGGCTGAGGATGAAGAGGATGACGAGGATGAAGATGAATATGTGGGTTATGCTGATGGTGTTGATGATGAAGATGATGATAACGGTGTGTTCTTTTTTTCAACGATGCTGACGAAGAAGAAGAAAATCAGGATGAGGATGCTAATGAGGATGATGACGAGGATTTAGGGTGAGGTCGATGATGATGCTGTTGATGCTGTTGTTGTTGAATGTGATGGTGTTGATGATGATGCGGATGTAAATTTGATTATGATGGTGATTGTGCGTGGGGAGTAGGATAAGGAGGAATATGATGGTGATGATAATTGTGTTGGTGCAGCTGACGCTGATGATGACAATGCTGGTAATGCTGCAGCTTACGTTGATGCTGAGTGTGGTGAGGAGGATAGTGAGGATGGTGGTGGTGCAGCTGCTGCTGATGATTGCATTGCTGGTAATGCTGCTGCAGATGTTGATGCTGCATGTGGTGACGACGATGACGGTGGTGGTGATGCTGATGTTGATGATGATGGAGGTGATGATGATGACGATGATGATGATGATGACGACGATGATGATGATGATGATGATGATGATGATGATGATGATGATGATGATGATGATTATGATGATTATGATGATGCTGCTGCTGATGATGATGATGAGGAGGAGGAGGAGTATTATGATGTGTAGCCAGGTCGAATGAGTCAACGGGTCCGCCCCTTTCCACCCTCCTTCTCATAAAGCACCAGTAATGACTAATTGAGGTACACATTGTAATCGGGATTGGGTTTGGAACGCATTCCCACCTGGCGAACGGAAGGTGCTCTCTCGCGCGGTCACGCTTCCGACGACTTGGCGAACGGAAAACTACGCGAGCCGCCCAAGGGCGGGAGCGGCAAGGTGAGAGTGGCGAAGGCGCAACGTGCGCCGCGCCGACGCAGCGCTGCCACTTTCTCGCGCCAACTGCGCGGCGCTGCGAGCACTTCGCCCGCTCCCGCGCGGCCCCGCGGCCGGAGAGCGACATTTTCGTCCGCTCGCGCGTCGACGAGCCCTGCGAGCGAAAAATGCGCGCCGTGCCCAAGCGGGAGCTCAACTGCCCCCCCCCCTGCTCCTCCTCCTCCTCCCCTCCTCCTCCTCCTCCTGCTCCTGCTCCTGCTCCTCCTCCTCCTCCTCCTCCTCCGCCTCCTCCTCCTCCTCCTCCTCCTCCTCCTCTCTCCTCCTCCTCTCTCTCCTCCTCCTCCTCCTCCTTCTCCTCCTCCCTCGTCCCCAGAACAAGGAGCGCGGCGCTGAGGCGATGGCGACACGTCGGCCTCTCGCGCGGGCTGTGCGCCACGTCCCATTCCTGCCGCTCACGTTGCGAAGTGGGCGGCAGGACGTCCATCTTGAGAGCAAGCGCGTCGACCTTGCGTGCTTTGCTGATCCCCCTGGATTGTGTTGCCACCGGCCAGCTAGGCGACCAGCACGAACTTTCGACAGCATCATGGGTTGCTGAGTCGGAGGATGAGGAGGATGACTACCAAGGTGAGGACGAAGAGTCGGAGGACCACGAGGATGAAAGGGCAATGGTAAAGAGGACCATATTAGGAATAGAGAGAGAGAGAGCAAGAAAAGAGAGAAAGAGAGAGAGAGAGAGCAAGAAGAGAGAGAGAGAGAGAGAGTCTTGGGGCTGTATTTGTTGGGTTCGTCTTGGGGCCCTCTTGGGCGATCTTGGGGCATCTTGGCGCCCTCAGGAGTCGTCGGAGTCGTCTTGTGCTGTCTTGGGCCCCTCTAGAGGCCTTCTGAGGTTGCCCTGGAGCTCTCTTGGGCAGTTTGGAGAGGTCATCGGGCTACTCTTCGGCTGTCTTTGGGCTGCGCAGTGACTTCCGTGATCTCTGCAATCTCCAGTCTCCCCTGGGCCTTGTTGTTGAGGTATTTGTTTGTGGCAATTTGTGTGCCTCTGGATATTCGCGGTTGGCCTTCGTGTAGGCTCGAGCTGCTCCCCCTTCGGGCCGGCGCAGCTTATCTTCCATTTTTGTTTTCTTCTGTAGTGCTTCGCCGAACTACTTGCAGACAATATGTTGCAGTGATTCCGGACGCATGTGGCCTGGCTCCTCCTATTTCGGGAGGAGGAGCTGCACATGTACAACGTGCTGTTCCGCCTTCTGGTCCTTCCTCCTCGCCCTTCGCGCCCTTCTTCGCACAGTGCTGTCTCAGTGCATTGCTGGCTGCAGGGCTGGTCTAATTACATGGTGCCACTGTGGGTTTAAATGCACGGCTGTGGAGGCACTTGGATACATAAACTCACGAATGGACGTCGGTGTCCGCGGTCGGATGCAATGCAGTTTTTCCCCTCTCTTTTCTCGTCCTCATCCTCCTCCGCTGATTTCCCCGCTGCGGCGTCCAAGGAATTCGGGGTATGCTTCTACGAGTTGTCACGTACTGTGCTGTGGTGCCTTGATTGCTGGAGTGTGCTGCCAGGTTGTTTGAATGATCGGTCGGATCATTAGGGGATCCACGCACAAAGCTCTGATCCATCGGCGTTGGCATCGCTGTCCCTGTTTCGCGCTCTGTCTGCGCTTGGCTCGTAATGCGGACGGCACGCGCACGAGTCACAGTGCCAACACCGAGTCACGCGGATGCTTGCGAAGAAACACCTCGCGTGCCTCAGGGGTCTCCCCAGACCCCCGACGTCATGATTTTTGTTCGCAACGTCGACCCCCAGAGGTCTCGCCCCGTCCCCCAGGACGGGCTTCTCGTCCCGAGATGTTTTTTGACGGCCCCTTGGCCCAGCAGGGGCTCCCAGAGGCCGAAACTAGTGCAAACTCTTCCGTCGTGATTGTCTCGTGCTTCGAGGGGGCCTGGGACCTCCCGGCAGAACTCAGCTTTGCACGACCAGGGCCGCGATCGGTTCAAGGCTGAACGCTCGACGCGGCGCCAAAAGCCTTTGCGCGCGCCGACGCCGCGCGGGCCCACCGTATCTCCCCCTGCTGACGTGGCCTGTCCTGACATCGGCTACGCTTGTGGAGGACGATCAATGGAGAGGAAGCATGCTGCCAAATAATTTCCAGATGTGTAAAAACATGTTTCAAACATGTTTTAGATATGTACAAACATGTTTGTTTGAGCATGGCTTACACATGTTAAGCACATGTTTCAACTCAAGGATAGGACGGTCAGGGTGTGCATTGCCATGGCATCCACAAGGCTACGCTGGAGTTGCCGCTCGGCCCCCTCCCGGAGCAGCCCGCCGCCCCCCGCGAGCGGGCCGGCCTCCGGGCCCCAGCTCGGGGGTGTTCGGCAGGGAGGGGAGCAGTCGAGCACGCCTGGTGACCTCGGAGGGTCCGAGGAGGCAACGGTGCACCGGGGGTGCGCAGCGAGAGACCAGATGCTCTTCGTCAGGTCGGCCTGGCGTTCTGCGCTCCGCGCGTTGCTCGGCGACTTCCCGAGGCCGTTGGGGAAGCTGTTGCGTTCTGGGTGCTCTGGGTTCCCCCCCTCGGGTCGGCCACGAAACGCCCCGGGGCCCCCACCTATAATACCGAGACCTACATCACCGTTGCCTACGTCGCCGTTAGCGTATCTACAGTGCGGACGCGGCCGCAAGAAGCCCTCGCAAGAAACCCAGCCCTGAAAACCCTCGCGCGAGACAGATCTGCAAACGCTCTTGTGTAGCCACCGTGGTGGCCCATGGCCCCGTGGCGCCTCGAGGCTCCTGGTGACTTCGGGGTCTCCGGGCAGCACACGGAGATCAGCTTGTGGTGCGATTTGCGCATCGTGGTGCAGTCAAGCCGCATAGTAAGGATGAGCGACTTTCCAAGGTTACCCTTGCATCCTTCCCCTTCGGCCCATCCTCGGCCGCTTTCGCTGGCCGCGCCCCGCTCGCAGAGTGTCGACATGGCTTGCCAAGGCCCTTGTATCCCTATCGTGCGTCCTTATTATACGGGTTGACTGTAGCAAACGCGCCGTCACCGCGGATAGCGAGGCGCAGCCGTGGTGAGACTTGCCTCTTTCTCGTGTAGTCCAAAAACATGCATGAGGAAGAGATTTGAGCAGGTCTTCTGGAGAAGGGGGTTGCTGCAGACCGCGTCTCCCAGGGAAGGGGGTCGTTGATGTGCACCATGTCTCACCCGGCTCGTATCGCTGCGTTCCAATCGCCACTTCGTTTATCTTGGTATCTCGCTTTCCTGCTTGCCGCTCTGACCCCTCTTGCCACCAGACGTCTTCCTGTGCCTTGCAATGGCTCCCCGACCGAGGACGCCTTGCTCAACAGCTCGAAGCTCGGAGAGAGCGTGGCCTCGGGAGTACATTCGGTGAGCACTCGGATAGTGCTCACGCTCTGTGAGTGGGCGCGTCATTGTCCGGTTCTGTGCTCAATCTACCTCAGGCTCATCGTCACACTTTGCCATGGTTCTCGGAGAAGGATATTCTGCGTAAACATTCCGCGTCGAAATACTTATCCCTACCCCCGTCCAGGGAAAACATCTAGTGGGTCGTGCGTAGTTTTTGTTTCGATACCCGTGTTGGCCCTTAGCAGAAACGTTGGCATGCCTCGCTGGGGAAACGAGCATCTCGCCAAACTCATTGGTTGATTGTTTGGGATTGGGATCGTCGTTCTGCTGGGGCGAGAGGAGCAGACGCGGTTACGAAATGGCGCGAACGTTGGGATTGCGGGAGACGCGGGACGAGTTTTGGGATAAATATTTTCACCTTGTTTTCGGGTGGTTTTGCAACGCTAGACATTTCCTGGGCGGGTGACGCGGCACGACGTGTCTCGACGCATGGCCGCTCAGAGGTCCAAGGGCACCAGGGGTGTTCTGGTTTTGGGAGTAAAATTTTCGGCTCTCTTGGGTCCGAACAAAATTATCCCTAAACCGTTTTGGGGTGATTCGTTGTGAGGTTAGTTCTGAAAATTTGGTAGGTCAGTATTTCGTCGGTTTTCCCCATGGAGGGTTGCTGCGCGGGCTGATCATCTCCTGTTTGAGGTGGCCAGTGCTCTTGGAGTATCTGTTATTTGGGTGCGCGGCACAGGTCAGGGATCCAGGCTGACGAGTCTTTAGGCGTCTGTTGCCGACCAGGTGATTGTAACGACTTCTTCAAACTATTGCCTATGGGGCGCAGCGGTCTCGCACTGCCAGGCGTCGGCCGCAATGTCGACAGAACCGCATTGCCGCGGCAGTAACAAATCACCCACGTCCGCGGTGGGCGGCAAAAAATCCTGGACCAGGGTAGGGGTAATAATTTCCCCGCGCAAGCATACACTTTCGACGGCCTGCGCGGATTGTCTGAGTTGGTGCTGGACCCCTTGGAGGCAATTCTGGCTCCGCAGGGAGGGGGTTCAGGCGCCAGCCCAAGACATCCGCACGGTCCTCGGCGAAATTATGTTGATGCGGTTGTTTGTTCCTGGAGCCATGGTTCTTCTAACCGCACGTGTGCTTTTCTGTGGCAGGGCTGCAAAGTAATGTCTCGTCTTCTCTGGCTGGCGGCCTTCTTGGTGCCAAAGCGGTCTGCTCGCGCACGTCCACGAAGTGTACCCACGCGCTTGTGCGTGCACGCGCGGTCAGACAACTTTCCAGTCAGTTGGGTAATCCACTGTCTGAGAATATAGCGGGCGAGCACGTGTCTTAGTTTTGCTGGTGAAAGAGTTAACAGGTGCATGAGCGCGTACGTTCCCCTCGTAGCACGCATAGGGGCATATACTTTTACTCGCCTGTGAGGAGAATGTGGTAGCCGTCTTCCACCCTGTTGGTTCCCAGGTCGGCACGAACATCAAATGCATCTGTATATTCGCCTATGAGGAATCAGTGGTGTCCGTCCTCCACCCTGTTGTTTCCCGGCTCGGCACCACTTTGGTCGAGTCCGATGCCGGGTTCGATTTGGGTGTCGTTGTCGCTTTCCGCCGATGATCCACTCTGGCCCATCTGGGCGACGCAGAAAAAAACGGGGTCTTATTCACCGACGCTGGCGCGGAAGCTGCCCGCGTAAGGTCGCGTGTTAGCGTCCTCGCTTCCAATGTGGCGTGCCGCGCTCGCGGCCCGCGTACGCCGCCGCGTAAAGGTCGCTATGCCATCTCGCGCAAGACCCCTGCCTTTTCGTCGCCCCATGTGCAGTCGTGCTCGCAGTCGCGTGTCGTCGTTTTGGGTGCAGTCGGCCGCCCTCGGAGCGCAGTCGGCCGGCCCCGAGGGCCTCGATGCCCCAGGCTCGCCCCATCTGCCGTCTCTCGTAGCTGGCGTGCCCACCGCGCGCAGGGCTGTCGGGGCGCGGCGTCGCCTCTCACCACCTACCAAGCCACCCCAACCCAACCCGAAGGTCTCAGACCCCCCCTAAATTTTGGGTCGGGGGGCGTACGGGTTCCATCGTGTTTCCTTCTGGAGTGCCCCCCCACCAGAAGTTGACGATCCCAACGGTGACTATGGGTTGGGTTGGGGTGGTTTGGTGAGTAGTCAGCTTCCTTGCGCCACCATCAGTCCACGTATGATGTCGAGTGCTTGCGCCCAGCGCTCTGTATCGTTTCCTCGATCTGGTCTGACCTGGAGGCCGACGGCACGTGAAGCCACTGCGGTGCGCGTTTGCCAATAGCTGCATGCATATTCACCCCGACTCTTCCCTTCTCTTCCTCCTCCTCCTCCTCCACACGTGGATAGAACCCCCACACCTTGCTGGTGGGGACGGTTCTTATCCCGATGATTTCCCATGCTGGCCTGTTTTGTCTTGTCGCCCTGAAGTGTCCAATCCAATCCAATCCTCCTCCTCCTCCTGCTGCTCCTCCTCCTCCTGCTCCTCCTCCTCCTCCTCCTCCTCCTCCTCCTCCTCCTCCTGCTCCTCCTCCTCCTCCGCCTCTTCCTCCTCGTCCTGCTCCTCCTCCTCTTGTGGCCGGTATTCTGGTATTTCCAGGCCCTCCTGCGTTGGGTTCTCGTTTTGGATAGAGCGCTGGGGCCTCCAGCCTCCTGCCACCTCTCCTTCCCGCCTTCTCTTCCTTTCCGCTTTCCCTGCCTCCGCCGTCCTGGCTGGTTGCTTGCTGGAGGAGGAGGAGGAGGAGGAGGAGGAGGAGGAGGAGGAGGAGGAGGAGGGGGCTGCGAGCTGCAAGACCGTCGTCACTTTCGAGGGCTGCCGGGGGGTCCAGCGGAGCGACGCCCCGCCGAGGATTCGGGTTAGACCTCGCCGTCCCTGGGGGGGCTGCGAGCTGCGAAGCTGCCGCCACTTGCGGGGGCTGCCACGGGGGTCCAGCGAAGTGGCGCCCCGACGCGTATTCACGTTAGACCTCGCCATCCATGGGGGGCTGCGAACTGCGAGACTGTCGCAACTTTCTCAGGGTGCTTGGGGGACCAGCGGAGGGACGCCAGCGGAGTGACGTCGTACGGGGACCCAGATTGGACCTCGTGTTGTCGTTTTGCGCGATGGGCCAGCTGGAAGGTGATGGGTTGATTGAAGCAACAGCATTGTGTGATCAGGGTCGCGCGCGGATTCCAGAATACACGGCGCACACCAGACAGCATGTTGTGAATTTAGCGGCCGGAGGTGAACACAGGCATCGGCACGAAGGCCATTGAGTCTTGAAGTGTCAGAGATTGATAGTAATTGCGGCTCAGTGGCATGTAGCTAGCGCGACTCTGAAATCATGCAAATATAAGAATTGTGAGCTTGCGGGAGACATGGGAGGGTAAGGGGCATGCGCATCTCGGTGGCCAGGGCAATGGGAAGTAACGCATGTGGTACCGAGCAGCTATCGACGCCGCTTGCGTTTTGGAAGCGAACTCCCCGCATTCAAGAAAGTAAAGAGGAGATAAGAGGATACATCCTTGACCTTCCACGCCAGAAATCGTCGCAGGAGTCGGAGTCCTCAACTTGTGTTTTATGCTTGTCGTCTGGCCAGGAAGCGACACATCTGCAGCTTGCGCCCAGAGTCGGGGCAAAGAAATACATCAAGCGCTCGACGACGGCGTTTTGGGCCTGGGCAGCTTTCCCGCCCGTTCTCTCCATGGTGCAGGCCTCCTCTCGTCTCCGCTGACCTATTCCGCGAAGTCAAGGGGGTGTGGATAGGAAAGGTGTGCATACAGCCAAGACGCTGAAGTAAGGAGCATTTTGGGTTCGGAAGGGGCTCGGTGTTCCTCAGGTCCTTCCGTGGCTGCTCCTCTAGCCCTCCTCGTGGACGCATGCGTCTCGAGGGGTTTCGTGCCTCGTTTAGTGCTCCTCATTATTGCAGCAGCCCGGCTGTACATCATGAGAAACATGAATCGGGAGTCAAGGGGAGAGTCTGTCTTCAGGCGGCCGGTGGTAGCACGGTCAGCGTGCAGCCGTTCACCGCGCCCGTGCTGCGAGATCGGGGCCAAGGCGGGGCAGCAGCACCACAGCGGCCTCAGCAGATGCAGGGAGCGAGGGCGGGGAAGTGCTGCGAGAATGCACTGAGCATGCGTGTCTAGACGTGTCGCCACGACCGTGTCTGGGCAGCAGGCTGGAATGTTGGCGCTGCGTGCGCTGGACGAGTTTGGGTGACAGCGGTTCCCTCTGCAAGCAGGAGACAAGGTCGGGGCCTGCGAGGGTACGTCTGCTGCACGGGTGGCTTCGTAGAACGGGAAATCACAAGAGACAGGGGATCCGCGCCCACACGTGAGAACGGAGGTTAGGTGTAGAGCCTCTGTGTGCCCCGTTTTCGCAGTTGACGGCGTCGAGTCCGTGCAATGAATGTGTAACATCGTTTGGAGCATCGGTGCCCCTGCGCTCCAGCACCATCGACATCCGGACCGACGCGTCTTCGTGCAGATGTCCAGCTATATCCGCAACTGTATCGCGTACACAGGTACACTGCATCCAGGCCGACGCACGAACGTTGAGTTTCCTCGTGCGCAGCGAAATTCGACATGATTTTCGAGCCTCGGCTTCATCATACAAGCACGATGGCCGTGTGATGCGCAGAAGCGTCGTTGGTCCTGCGGTAACGCCGCACAAGCTGCTGCCATGGAGTACGTGTCATGGTTACGTGGGATACGTGAGTTGCAGGTTCGGGCGCTCTCACGGGTAACTGCTTTTCGGAACGTGGTTCAGATACAGGGGCCGGAAGTTTTATGACCCAGGCGGTGGCGCTATATTTGTGTTTTCGTAGTTGATTGGTCAGTTTCCAGGGTGATGCGGTTTCCCTTGTGAGCCGACCATGGGGTTTCGTTTGCACCCAGGCGGTGCTTGTTAAGTTAATGGACGTTGGGTATGTAATCAGGCTCCTGGGATGATTATGGAGGACTCTTGGCACTGAGTCTGCTCGCAGGTTTGTGCCTTCACAGACCCACCGGTTGAAATAGCCGTAGAACACGGCAGGCTTGCCTGAGGTAGTTGCACATCGAATTGCATTCCCCACTGGGTTCGAGCTGGGTTGGACAGGAGGTACGGACGAAATCAGAGTCGAGAACTGTTGTGCTGCATCCGTGCGATGATTGGCCTCCACTCCCCGTTCTCATTCTCTTACTTAAGCGGCAGCTGTGCCTGCCCAGGTCTGAACTTTATGATGATCGCCTTGCTGGGAGCAGGGGTGCCTCTCGCTCTTACTTGTCATGCGTGACGCATATCATGACAAGCAACGCGGCCATACGTGGTGTATTTTCGTGCGCGACGGGGTCGTACACGCATAGCGAGCCGCATGCAGCGTGTCACACGCAACCGCACCGCGCTTGTGGCTGTCGGACACTGAGCCCCGACAAGCCCTTCATACTCAGAGGGGCACGGAAGAATCTGGCTGAAGACATCATTATTCCGACTGCCCATTTCTCTTCCGACCTATCCATATCCAATGTTCCAGCCACTTCGCTGACGGGTTGGTGTTTGGTTACTTATAATGAGTCTGACGTGTTGGCTCCGATCTTGGTGACGTTGTCCAGGTGTCTGCGGCAAATCTGCCACCGCGTCAGCGAAATACTCTGTATGGTGACCCTTCCAGCACCGCCCAGAAGGCCGTCACACTCAGTGAGGAGTTCTCATACGGCTTGCTTTGACTGCCTTGGGGATGCCTTGGGCTCCCGTGGGGCCCCTCGAGGCCCTGTTGGGCCGTCTTGATGCCCTCGTGGGCCTTTCTTCACCACCCACCAAACCACCCCAACCCAACCCGAAGGCTCAGATTTACCCTCGATTTCTAGTGGGGGGGGGGGTCGGGACACATCGAAAAAACACGTGTGGAACCCTTACCCCCCCCAACCCGAAATTCGGGTCTCCGGGTTGGGTTGGGGTGGTCTGGTAGGTAGTCATTTCTGGAGCTCTCTTTGGGCATTCTGGGACATGCTGGCCGTTTCGGGGCCGCCGTCATGGGCCGTCCAGGGACCCTCTTGGGCCGCCTGCGGTCCCTCCGGAGGCCCTCTTGGGCGGGCCGTCCAGGGGCCCTCTTGGCATCCGGGGCCTCCGTCCTCTGGGCTTTCGAAGGCTGCGAGTGGACCAGGCCTCAACCGAGGAGGGCGGAAAGCGAAGCGCATAGAAGCAACCAAGGAAACACAGCATGTTTGGCCTCTCGAGGGCCGCCTGGAGAGCGAGCGTCGTGTGGGCATGTTGGGGCCTCTTTTGGGTCTCTCTGCATATGTTCAGTGTTTGGGAGCCAGTGAGTGCCTCTTGGGACAATGTGTGGCCATCTTGTTGGCCTTGGTGGCGTTCATCGGCCGTCTGGGAAGCGCCTCGGGAGGGGTAGGCGGGGCATGCAGACTGCACTCTGTGGGGAGAGGGGAACATGTTTTCAGAAGCCTTGCAGAAACCGTGCCAGATAGCACTGGGTATTCGACCACGCCTCAAACGTGCCAGAAGGCACAGTTGCCGACTTGTGTAGCATCACGCGCGCAGCCGAGTTTTCTCTTTCGCAAATGCGTTGGACAATTGGGGTGCCTCGGCATATGTAAACTTTCGATGCCCCTTCTCCTGCCTCCTCCTATTCTCCCCCCCTCCTCCTGTTCCTCGTTCACCCTCCTTCTCCTCCTCCCTCCATGTATCTCTTAATCTCTCCGTCCTTGCCTCCACCCTCCACCTCCTCTGACACCGCTCCCCCCTCCGCAGCCCTTTCTCCTCCTCTATATCCCCGCCCCCCTCCGTCCTCTGCCCTTTGTCCGTCCCTCCCTTGTCCGCCGGCTCCCCCGCCCTGTCCTTCTCCCCTTTGCCTACCCTCTCTTACCGCCTCCTTCCCCTCCCCTCTCCTCACTCGGGGGCGGCCAAGAGGGGGGTGATGACTAGGGGGGGGATATCATGGCGGGAGCTTACATCCCTGCCCCCCCACCCCCCACCCCCTGAGCCGCGCACATGCCGCCGGCCGTGATTTGCGCCCCCCCCCTCTCGGACGCCCCCCCCCCTTGGCCGCCCCCGACTCACCCCCTTCGCCCTCTCCCTCCCTCCTCGCCCCCTGGTTCCACAACTGCTCCACAGGTGTACTGCTCTCCACAGGTGTACTGCTCTCTTCTCCCCTTCCCCGGCAGTGCGCGTGTCTGCTCTTGCCTCGCCTCGTGTATGCCCGTCATGTTTTTGTTGGCTGCCGCGCTGGCGAGCGCACGCGGTCGGGGCCGCGGACGGGGCTGCGGATCCGCAGGTGGAGCGTGCAGGAGGCACGGGGGAGGAGGAGGAGGAGGAGGAGGAGGAGGAGGAGGAGGAGGCTGCCAGCCGCGGAGGTCGGGGGCAACGATAGGGGGGGGACAGGCACAGAAGGGGGGGGGATTGCATCGACCCCCAATCGCCCATTCATCGCCGACAAGGGGTCTGAATGGCCCCATCCCGCCCAGGAGCGTGCGGATCCGCTATCGGGTGCCTGTCGCCGATCCATCGGCGAGGTATCGCCGATTCCAGATCGATGCCTTCCCCCTAATGATGCCAGTCCCCCCAACGGTTGCCCCTCGGGAGGAAGGCAAAAGGCAGAGCGCGAGTTCAGGGCATGGCGATCCTCACGAGCAGTGCGGCGGCGGCAGGGTCGTGCGAAGGGAGGGCCGTGCGGGGCTGGCCGGGGGCGGCTGCGCAGTGCTCGATGTGGCTTTCGCGCAGGCGTTTCTGATGGGGCATGTCCTGTCTCTTTGGCGTCGGAACGTTCACTGTCCTCTCCAAAAAGCATGGCTTTCCCGCCGTAGCGTTGGCCACACCTCAGGGTCGGTGTTGTCCTCCCGTCGTTCGGACGGGCGCACTCGCTTCAGTGCTGGCCACACTCCTGGATCCGACTCCTCGTTGTGCTGTCCTGCCCCCCTCCTTGTCCCTCCTCCGGCTTCCCCTGATCCTCCTGCTTATCCTGCTCCTCCTGTTCCTCTTGCTGCTGCTGCTGCTCTTCTCCGTTTCTTTCCCAACCATCCTGTGGTGTTGGGTCCTCGTTTTGAAGAGACGTCGCCCCGCGTTCCTTCCTTCCTTCCCGCTGCCCCCTCCCTCCTCCCATCTTCATCATCATCGTCATCATCCCCATCATCGTCATCGTCATCATCATCTGTCGTCATCATCATTATCACCACCCATGTCGGCACACCCCTCACACGTTTCGTGACCCCATAGGGAGCTCCACCGAAGGTCCCAGTGCGTGTGCCCGCATGCGTCCCGCACACTCATTTCGGCACACCCCTCACACGCTTCGTGGCCCCATAGGGAGCTCCACCGAAGGTCCCAGTGGGTGTGCCCGCATGCGTCCCGCACACCCATTTCGGCACACCCCTCACACGTTTCGTGGCCCCATAGGGAGCTCCACCGAAGGTCCCAGTGGGTGTGCCCGCATGCGTCCCGCACACCCATTTCGGCACACCCTCACACGTTTCGTGGCCCCATAGGGAGCTCCACCGAAGGTCCCAGTGGGTGTGCCCGCATGCGTCCCGCACACCCATTTCGGCACACCCCTCACACGTTTCGTGGCCCCATAGGGGGCTCCACCGAAGGTCCCAGTGGGTGTGCCCGCATGCGTCCCGCACACCCATTTCGGCACACCCCTCACACGTTTCGTGGCCCCATAGGGAGCTCCACCGAAGGTCCCAGTGGGTGTGCCCGCATGCGTCCCGCACACCCATTTGGCACACCCTTCACACTATTCGTGGCCCCATAGGGAGCTCCACCGAAGGTCCCAGTGGGTGTGCCCGCATGCGTCCCGCACACCCATTTCGGCACACCCCTCACACGTTTCGTGGCCCCATAGGGAGCTCCACCGAAGGTCCCAGTGGGTGTGCCCGCATGCGTCCCGCACACCCATTTCGGCCCACCCCTCACACGTTTCGTGGCCCCATAGGGAGCTCCACCGAAGGTCCCAGTGGGTGTGCCCGCATGCGTCCCGCACACCCATTTCGGCACACCCCTCACACGTTTCGTGGCCCCATAGGGAGCTCCACCGAAGGTCCCAGTGGGTGTGCCCGCATGCGTCCCGCACACCCATTTCGGCACATCCCTCACACGTTTCGTGGCCCCATGGGCTCCACCGAAGGTCCCAGTGGGTGTGCCCGCATGCGTCCCGCACACACATGTCGTCCCACCCCTCACACGTTTCGTGGCCCCATAGGGAGCTCCACCGAAGGTCTCAGTGGGTGTGCCCGCATGCGTCCCGCACACCCATTCCGGCACATCCCTCACACGTTTCGTGGCCCCATAGGGAGCTCCACCGAAGGTCCCCGTGGCGCAGTCCACATGCGTCTCCTTTGCCCAGTACAGCGTTACGTGGCCCCATATGGAGCCCCACCGCAGGTCCCAGCCAGCCAGCTAGCTCTCTTTGCTCCGCGCAGCGGGCGACCCGCGCGCGTCGCTGGGACTCCTCCGGGGCGACCTGCGCGCGTCGCGGGGGCTCCGTGCTGCGTTCCGCCCAGCGCCTCGCTCGCCCGTCGTCGCTCTGCCCAGCGGCAAGAGCCTTGCCCGCTATCAGCCAGCCAGCTAGCTCTCTTCGCTCCGCGCAGTGGACGACCCGCGCGCGTCGCTGGGACCCCTCCGGGGTGACCTGCGCGCGTCGCGGGGGCTCCGCGCTGCGCTGCTCCCGCAGCCTTGGACTTTTGAGTGCGCGGGCAAAGAGGGAGTAAAGGAAGGGGAGGAAGCGGGCGCGATCCTCGCGGGGGGGCGCGCCGACATTGGCGTCGCGGCGCGCGGGCGATGCCGTCGGGGAGTCCCGGGGAAGCTCCTTGCGGCGGCCACGCCCAGCGTCACGAGTATTCAGAGGCAGTCGTTGTCAAACTATTGGCATTCATACACATTTGCACCACGCTTTGTCATATTCGCATTCATGCACGTAGACTCGCTCGCACGCAGATCATTCACAGTCAGACGCACGCGCGCAGATTCACCCGCGCTCAGTCTCCCTACGTACTCAGATCAATCGTTTTCGTTCACTTTGTGTACCACGCCACTCATGTCGGCACGCCCCTAGCACGGTTCGTTGCCTCATAGGGATCGCCACCGAAAAAATGAATCACTATTGCGGTACTCGCACCTGCATATGGTTGGGTCCCTCGTCAGGCTAATTTTTCGTCGTCCTCTTCCTCCCCTTCCTTCGCATCCTTCTGCTTATCCGCCACTTCCCATCCAATGTGCGAAAACCCCCTTCTGCTTACGCATCACACGACGGGGTCA